CCCCTTTGCAACCAAGCGAGCCTTGTATCTGTCTACATTCCCTTTCTCATCCAATTTTATGTTGTAAATCCACCGGCATCCCACCATCTTCTTTCCCTTCGGAAGACATACTAACTCCCAAGTCTCGTTCTTTTGTAGTGCCTCCATCTCCTCATTCATTGCCCTTTTCCATTTCTCATCTTCTAATGCTTCGTGTACATATCTTGGGATCACAATGTTGGACAGTTTCTCCACTCGTAGTGCGTGTGACTCTGACAAACGATGATGTGATACAAAATTCCCAATGGGATACTTAGACCTCGCTTTAATATCAGGTACATATTGCTTCTTTGGTTGGCCTCGGTTAGTTCTCTCTGGATACCGTCTTTCGATTATTTCCTCCACATTGGTTCCATGTACTGTGTCCTCCAATTCTTCATCATCCTGCATAAAATCACTCAAAGAACCAGTGTCAAGAACGACATCTGGTGTGTTAGTATCTGGTACGTGTTGTTCAACATTCCGGCTAGATTCAGGTTCTTCATTCATGCTAGACTCTGGCTGGACATCGGTACTAGGCGTGTATTGACTTGAATTTACACACTCTGTATCATCTTCTTCATTCTCTAACTGAAAGCTTGCAATTTCTTCATAAAAGTCGTGGGTTTCTACTTCTGCGTTCTTTTCCCCCTGAAGAGAACACCCATGACCAAAGTAAGGAACAGTTTCATGAAATGAAACATCCCTTGTAACATGGACCTTATTTTCAACTGTATCCAAACACCGATACCCTTTCTTTGCATCTGCATATCCAAGAAACATGCATTTCACAGACCTTGGTTCCAACTTTCCCAAATTCTGATATACATATGCAGTGCAGCCAAAAATGTGTGGTTCAAGGCCATCAGTTTGTGATATTTCAGTGAGTTCTCGTAGCTTCTGTAGCGGTGTTTGAAAGCCTAGCACTTTTGATGGTGTTCGATTCAAGAGATAGGCAGCTGATCGTAGTGCTTCACCCCAGAATTTCTTGGGTACTTCCATATCAAATAGAGAGGCTCGAACAACTTCAAGAAGTTGTCGATTTTTCCTCTCTGCCAATCCGTTTTGCTGGGGAGACCTTGCACACGACGTTTGGTGGCGAATCAAATTCTGTTTACAGAAGTTTTTCATGGTATAATTTATGTACTCCCCTCCATTATCAGATTGGAGCACTTGAATTTCCCTTCTGTACACTGTTTTAATGGTGTTATATAGTTCTGTAAACGCCTGAAATACTTCTCCTTTATGCTTAAGGAGTGACACCCATGTCATTCGTGTACTTTCATCAATGAATGTTACGAAGTATTTTGATCCATCAGGAGTGGGTATGGGGGCGGGGCCCCATACATCAGAGTGAATCTTCATAAAAGGAATTGAAGTTTTATTATCACTAGAAGCATATGAGATTTTCGTGTTCTTTGCTAACTCACAAACACCACACTTCAACTCATTATCCAATACATTTGAAAACAAACTAGGTTTAAGCTTTCTAAGGTAATTAAAAGACAAATGTCCTAGCCTACGATGCCATAACATTGCTAAGGACTTATTCACTTCCATTACTGCTGTATGATACGCCTGGCTTTGGTGATTCTCGTCCAGGTAGTACAATCTTCCCCGCCTAGTACCATAGCCAAGAGTATGATGAGTTACCATATCCTGAAAGACACATTCATGTTTCCAAAAGATAACATAACAGTTTAGTGCTTCTGTGATCTGGCTGACAGATAATAAATTCGAAGATAATGAAGGAACTACAAGGACACTATCAAGATCCATAGACTTTGTTACTTTTACAGTTCCTTCACTCACTACAGGTGCCATTTCTCTATTTGCAGTTTTAACATTCGTTTGTGAGGGTTCGGTTTTTTTGATTAATTTTGAAGGATCATTTGTCATATGATCTGTTGCCCCTGTATCAATTACCCATTGTTTTGAGAGTTTGCTTTGATTATTTAGTGACATACCTGGATCAGTAGTAGTATGGGCTGCAACTGGAGTGGTTGATTCTTCACTTTGAGGAGTCTTGATTGTTGCAGCTTGAACTATTCGCTTCCTAGGCTTCTTTGAGAAATCCCACCATTCGGGGTATCCAATAAGCTCATAACACTTTGACTTTGAATGTCCATCTTCCCCACAATGAGTGCAGGTAAGAGAGTTGCTCTTGTTGGTCTTCACTTTGGGATTCAGAGGCCTATTTCGAGAAGTAAAGTGGACCATGCTATCTGCCTCAATTTTGGGATCTTCCATGGACTGACGCTGGTTATGATCCTTTCTTATATAGGCGTATGAAGATTCAAGGGTAAGTGGTGGGTCTTTTCTGAGAATTTCACTTCGTGCTTGGTTGAATTCGTGATCAAGGCCTGCCAGAAATATGTGGACACGAAACCTTGATTGAGTTTTGTTTGAGGCTACTGTTGACTCGACAGTCTCCCCCTCTGATATTGATCTAGCATCAATTTCCTGAAAGATACTTACCAATTCATTGTAGTACGCAGGTAGCGATCTCTCATTCTGGCGAGTATTGAAGGATCTTCGGTTCAATTCGAACAATTGGGTTTCATCCGACCCATCATAGAATGTCTTTTTCGCTGCTTCCCAAATTCCTGCTGCAGTTGGTAGGCGGATGAATCTGCGCATTAGGTTAGGATTCATAGAATCAATGAGCCAGCTCTTGACCCGGTTGTTATCAGTGACCCATGCTTCAATCGATTTTTCATTCACGGAGGGTTTCACTGAGGTACCAGTGATGAACCCTGATTTGTTACGAGCCCCGATGCGCATCTCCATGAGTTGAGACCACAACGGGTAATTGGTATCATCGAGAATAACCCCTGTTGGAAATGGGGCATCTTGAACGTTTTGCACAATCACCGATGAGGATGATCCAGGGGTTTCGCCTTCGTTTCCCATGGTAATTCGAATACTTCGTAGGGTTTGGTTACTTCGTGGAATTCGTTCACTGATTCAACGATTAAGAAGATCAGGAATTCGAGGTTTTTATTGCTTTGATACCATGTTACTCAGAGAGCAAGAGAAGAGATTTTGTGGAATGATTTCCAAGTGTATTTTATTAATCGACTGGTACATGGTTATATACACAAATAATATCAACAAACTTCCTAAGATACAGGTTACAACGATAAACTAGGATATGATAACTTATACAACAAATCTTATTAATTAGGATAAGTCTTATCCCATTAAGCTCTCGCCAACATATGATTGATGATGAAGGCCATGGATTGCAATCTTTGTCCAAGAAGAAAATAAGGAAACCATCATAAAGACTAATCAAATTAAAATTTAAAAAAGTTTGTTTATGACAAAAATAGAGGTGGTTCTACTACGACAATTCCTGTACATTTGGATTAGGTATGTTACATATCATAAGATGACAACGATGATAGTTTTTATGGGCAAATAGTAAAACAACATAGCCACATTTTGGTTCTTGTCTTTTGGATACAAACTTGTAATGTGGTTGTCTTTTTTTTTTTGGGAATTAGTATAGACTTTTGGTACAATTTGATGTATATTTCATGTAAGTAACTTTAAGTTTAATGTAATGGCTACCTGTGTAATGAAATGATTCTTTCGATGATGTTTACATACATTTTTTTATTGTTGACAATTAGAAAACAATACTAGCTCGTAACAAAACTACACACTAATTACATAGCATTTCCTAAGACAACTTTACAACAAGTTTTATCGGGATCATTTAGATAGCAAATAACAAAACTAATATAGCTTGTAACAAAACAACCATATACATGTGTTGTGGATCAATTTGCTCTAATTTTTTACTTTTGCAATCTTCATCCTTATCAAGCCACTTGAAAAACTTGCAATGTTGTGTTAGATCCTGCCAAGAAAAATATACAATTTCACAATAATGTACTCATTGGGCAACCCTAAAACCTACATCAAGTTATCATATGTGCGTAAAATAGAAATTGGACATACATCTTCACACTTGCATTGATTACAAGAATAGAGATTTTAAAGCTCGGTTTCGCTAGGGAGCCAAGATTTTTTAATAAGGGACTTACGTAGTAATAACATATTAAAATATATTTTATCTTCAAATAAAAAAAAATGTCTTTAAATTTGAAAAAAAAATTGACAAATAAAAAGATTGTCTAAATAAAACATATAAATATACATATCCAACTATATTTATAATAGTTTAGTAATAAAAATATAAGAGATGGAAATTAACCTCTATATATATATATATATATATATATATATATATATATATATATATATATATATATATATATATATATATATTATATAGTTGTAATGGAAATGTATGTGCTCATGTTTATGAGTTATTGAAAGAAAACATAAAAAGGTTTAAGTCGGAACTATGGTAATAAAGACAATGTAAAAGGACTAATTATGTAAATTTGATTTTTTTTAGATACACAATTAAAACTCCAAGAGGTAGTCTAACTAAAGATTAAAGATTAGTCAGCTATGGTAGACTTATTAAAATAGACGGAGATTAGGGGGGCTGAGCACCGGGTAACCCCGATACTCCCTCCGCCAATGGGTTTCGCTAAAGAAGACGGCAAAATCAAAACTCTAAAAACCATTGTAGCTCTTGATTAACTTCCTTCCCCCGAGTATAAACATACATAGCAAAATTCTCGTTGGGTGAGCAAAATAACCATTGAAACCGAATTGAGTCGGAATCGATTGGGAATCAAATATGTAATTCGGTTTAGTTCTCAGTTTCTCGATATCCATAAATTTGGTTCTCGGTTTGGTCCGGTTTTAGACCCTAACAACTAAAAGTGAGCACAAAATTTGTTGGAATCAAACTGACCCGGAGATAGAACCGATTGGAACCAAACTGACTCGGATAAGAAAATATATAGAAAGTAAAGCAGGATGATATTTAATTTCTTAATATTAAGATAAAACCACTAAAAATGTAAATTTAAGGGGTTGTTGAGCCATTTTCCAAATATTACATTAACAAACTCCAAATCTGCGTAAAACGGTTGCATCATAAAGAAAAAAGGGACAAGCAAGACAATAACTTGATGCTGCTGATCGTCAACGGACGGGATTCCAGAACAGGAACATCATAATGGAAGTGTTTAAACGAAGTTAGTAGTCATCAGCGCAAGGAAAGCTCAAGGAGGTTCGATTTGGTTGTAAAATGGAACATTATAAGTCCCGAAACAACGATTTCTTCCACTTCACAAACCCCCACGATGATGCAAGTGAGCTAGATGATGATGACGATTACGATGAACTGCAATACGACGATGTCGATGATGATCGTAGCTGTGATTTTAATTTCTATAATTTTCGTCCCATCGGGATCGGGAGTACTTCATATCCGCCTCCTAATTCCCAGGTACAATTTCCTCAGGTTGCTGGTTGTTAGTATTAGGGTTTTTGTTCGGGTGTCAGTATTGTCTCTTGATTGTTCTTTGATAACAAATTCTGAATGGCCATTAGAAAGAAGGTGGGAAAAGAATCAAATTATGATGAAGCTCATGAACCCTAAGTTGAACTTGGCACGTAACTGTTATCTGATTATTGTTGGTTATGACGTTCGTGAACCCTAAATTGAAGCTTTTTGCTAGTAGAATTCGTAAACTCAAAAATGATATGTTGGTTGATTCTACAGCCAAGTGGTGTGATGAACGAGAATGATACTGTGACTACATCCATGGAGAAACTCGGGACCTTTGACTATGGGGCCTTGTTTTTTCACTTAGACAATACAATGAAGAACCTTTCTGATAAACTTCATCACACAATTGAAGGTATTGGCACACAAATCTCTAGCCTTGAAGATGAAACTTGCAAAATTGATAACCATGTAGAGGATTTGAAGAACTTCACAGAAAAGTATCACGGGACAACCCACATGAAGCTAAAGAAGATGCATAATGTTTTACAAGAGGTTTCCATCTTTACTTACCTCCAATCTTTTTCCATTTCAAATGATTCTAATGACCAAATACTTTGTCTCAGGTACAAGATGATGTCTTATTTTTGAAAGACAAACATGAAATAGCAGAAACAAAGCTTCAACTTGCTAAACTTCAAGGTTCAAAGAGAGACAAAGAACCTGCTGCTCAAACAAATCCACACCACCAGCAACCATTGCCTTCTCCACAGTCATCTTTTCACACACCATTAACTCCACTTCTCAACCAACCACCATCAAATGGAGTAACTTTCTCACAAGACTCTCAGGTTCCACATTTTACACAATCATACCTTCCGAATTCATCTCAAGGCATTCTTAGTCCTCAAAATCATCCTTTCTTAAGCCATCATTCTCAAGAAACATCTAAAATGTCATCTTTTAGCCATTCTGAACCAGACAGATGGGGCTCCAGTCAAGAACATGAAGAGGGTTTGTCCCACTTTATGCATGTCCAATCTTCAAGAAACTACAAGTCTGAGTTTCATGCTAAGTATATGCCAGAATTTGCTAGCTTTTCCAACAATGAACTACCATTTCCAAGTAATTACACTCATACCCCTGAGGCCCAACCACTGCCTCATGCATTGCCAACTGCTGTTGATGTAGAAGACAGGTTAAGCACAGAAGGGAATGGTAATACAATTCCAGTAGATGACATAGTTGATAAGGTCACAGCAATGGGTTTCAGGAGGGACCTTGTAAGAGCTTCTGTGAGAAAACTCACAGAAAATGGTTCTTCTGTGGATCTTAATACAGTTCTTGATAAGATGATGAACAACAAATGAAATGATCAAATCTATATAATCTACTATGATGTACAGAAATTGCAAAAAGGAACAAAATGTACAAACTGAAGATGTTAGGAAGCCAATTCCATGCTTGCAAAGGGCGACTTTATGTCATTGTGGTAAGTGGTCTTTTCACTCTTGTCATATGCTTCGTAGTTTCCATGTCATTTGTATTATTACAATACAAATGATTTGTGATTGATATAATATTTGTATAAATCATGTTGTAGTTTGTTTCCATTTCCTAATCTTGTAATTTGCATATGCTTTTATCAATAGCTGATGTATAAGTGAAAAAGATCTATAGCATAATTTATCCCAGAATGTAGATATTGAATAACCTATATATTCACATCCAAATCCAAGAATTAGTAATGTACTTCTGTTTGGCTTTTTTATTTTATTTTATTCTCTTATTCTATAATTATGATTTAAAAAAAAAATTCTTAAAGACATTGTACTTTGAAAACTATTCCTGGTTATTAACTGTTTTAAGGGTAGACAGGTTACCCCATTATAACTTGGCTGACGTGGATGCCAAATCATGATTACATGGCTTTTTTTTGCCATGTCATCTTTTGTATATATTTGATAGAGTTGCTCTTTGCGAATAGCAACACCTTGCAAACAAATGTGACACATGCAACATTTAAGCTACTTAATTACCAAGTATGTTAAACATATTAATTGAACATTACTTAGTAGAATATAATTTTAGCTTCTTTACATACATTATGTCAAGCTTTCTCTATAATTATATATAATAAAAAATTACTTGATATATTAAAAAAATATCCTCCTATATCGCCACCCTACAATTCATTCTCAGAGAAAATAAATATCCTCCTACTCGTATAAATCCATTAATTCTTTCTTTTAATTTTTTCTCTTGATTTTGACATTTGTTTTGATCTATCGAGTAGGAAGATTGGAAGGAATAAAACATAAGTGGAAATTCTATTTTTAGTGAGGAACTGGGAATATAAAACAAAGAGATCAAATATTCTCTTACTTTTCTTTCTTTACCCATATTTCTACACATTTAAAATTATGATAATTGTTGAGTTTTATTTTCCTAATAATACTGTATTTTAGGATAATTGTTACAATTGATATATAAGAGGATATTTTTGTAAGGCAAGATATGATTTTGTGTGTTGGAGAAAAGGTAGTTGCCGAAATAATGTGTATGGGAAATATGATATGGTAGTAGCTTTTAAGAACATGTGGAGGAGTGGGTGAATAATGTATAAAGGTGACAATGAATGAAATGGCCATTGGGTAGTGTAGTGCTTTTAGTTAAATACACATGGTCAGTAGAGAGGCCTATTTAGAGACTTAAATTGAATCTGGGGAAAAGGTAGGTAGGGAATCTTGAAAAGTGATCATAGATTGACTGCAATCTTTCGTCTTTTCCAATAGTCACTTTCTCCCTTTATTGTCAGGAAGGAAGTGGTACTATGAATTATTCTACAATCTTCTACTTGATGTAAAAACTTAATAATTCATTCATTAGGTTCATTTTTTCTTATTCTCCAAATTTTGTGATTTACATTCCGACTGTTTTAACGATTTGTGAGGATGACTAGATGCATCTTATAATCTATTTGCTAAAATGACCATGTTTGGGGGGTATATTCATGTAACCATTTTGTTAGATGACCATGGATCGTCTAAAAAAAGCGCATGGTTAATTAATTTTTCGGACACAAAAAGACACTTTATGTCAAAAAAAAAAAAGTTTTTGGTTTCGCGAATAAACTCATGTTTGTGAAAATTTTGTAAGTTTTTAATTTTGTTGCGCCTTCTTTTCGGAAAAAGCATTGGGTCTTAGTTTCTTTATAATATAGTCTTCGTAAATGGTCCATGTGGTTTCTTAAAATATCAATGTAGTCCCTAACTTTTTTTCGATCTCATGAAGGGTCCTTTTGTGGTTTAAAAACTTTTCAAAAGTAGTTCTTTTGGCTCACTCCACTTTTGGTCCGCTAAGTCACAACACATGCTCCCACCCCTACCCTCACCCCTAACCCTATACTTGCAACATGCTAACACCCTCTTCATCTTTTGCTCTAGCCACCGGAACCGGCTCATATGTCGCCTCTCTTCCACGGACGGTGGTTCTCCCCCACCCATTATGTCTGTCGACATAGCCTCCGCCTCCGTCACCGTGTTCCCTCTCCTCCACCCATTATGACTGCCGACATAGCCTCCGCCTCCATCACCGTGCTCCCTCTCCTCCGTCACGGTGGTTCTCCCTTACCCATTATGTCTGCCGACATAGCCTCCGCCTCCGTCACTGTGCTCCCTCTCCTCCTCTCCCATATTATTTTTCTTCTTCTTCTCCCACCCTAACCACCACCACCAACAACACTCATGAAGGACCAATGAATTCCTCTCGAAAGACGAATTCCTGCTACAAATAACTCCAACCACCATTTTCCCTTCTTAACCGACTGTCTCCGAATCCACGTAGACGAGGGTTAATGATACAAACCCCATATATATATATATATATATATATATATATATATATATATATATATCAACCTATGTGGTTTATAAAGAAAATACCTTTTAAGGGTATATAAAGCTTTCTCATATGTGTTTTTTGAACCCATCAAACCATCTCTTTATCTCACTCATTACTAACAATCCTCTTAAAATTATGGTTCCACAAACACAAATACAACCCCCGTCAGTTCAACCCCAAATTGTGCCCCTCACACCACTTCCTCGGCTATTACTAGTCTTCGCCCCACTCCTCAACCGGCCCATTCTACACCAATCATGTGCGTTAGAGTTTTTGGGAAGTTAGGCTGAACAACTCCCACTATTTAAATTCTCTTACAACATCTATCACTCAACAATTAAGAAGACGTCATATGAAGTATAATATGGATGAGAGTGTAGATCACAATCTTGTTGGTTATAAGTTGGTGAAATAGTGTTTAGGGGGCCAAGTTTGATTCATGAAATAACTGAGAAGGTGGAAATTATTATAGAAAGGATGTTGGTAGCTTAGAGTCGAAAAAAGAATTATACAAACCTTAAGAATCGCCTGATGACATTTGAAGTAGGCAAGTTTTATTGAAAGTGTCTCGGGAGAGAGGATTGATCTGTTTCAAAAAGGAAGGGTAGTTAAATCCAAGATATATCATGTCATTGAATGTGTTGAAGAGAATTGGGAATAAAACTTATCGTTTGGAGTTACCTCAAGAACTACATGAGATTCATAATGTATTTCATGTGTTTTATTTGAGAAAATGGTTAGTTGATAAGGTGGATTTATTAACATTAGAGGAAATTTGAATTGATGAAAAAAAAACGCCTAATAAGATGATTGAGTTGGTATTGGTGAAATCGAAGCACTCAACAAGACCAAACCTTACATGGGAGACTGAAATGGAAATGAAGAAAAAAATATTTGCATCTATCTTTGGATCTCGTGATTTTGAGGACGTAATCGTCCTAAGAGGGAGATAATTGTAACATCCTACTTTTAGGGCTAGAAAAATTTATTTTAATTAAATAATTAAAATATTAATTAATGCATAATAAATTAATAAAACAATTCAAATAATAAAATAAAATCTGTAACATTTGCAATTTATGGGTATGATCCTTTTAACCCCTATTTGTAAATTCTTTTCATTATTGGTCCCTATCCGAGTACGTTGGGCGTACTCTATGAGTACGCTGGGCGTACTCTATGAGTACACTGAGTGTACTAGCTTGAAGAATGGACGCGGAGGCACCTACATACGTTGGGCGTACGCTGAGCAGGGGCAAACCCTAATTTTTAGGGTTTGTGTCCTATTTAATTAACTTATGATGCCTTGGTGCATCTTATGGTCAGCCTCCAGTTCTCCAAACCCTAAGAATGAAACCCTAATCTTCATTGAGTGTTTGAGAGCCTTTGTGTGATTTTTGTGGTGTTTTTGTGCTCCTTTGAAGGAAGTGAAGCTTGGTGGTGAAGCTTGAAGATCCAAAATCTTCATCAACTTTGCAAGTTATTTGAGGTATAAAGATCCTAACTTGATGATTCCTTATTATAAGATCTAGCTTAGGGCTTGTTTTATGCTTTTTATGGTCCTTTAAGCTATGCTTGAGAGTATGAGCTACTCCAGAAGCTAGGAAGGGTAGATCTTGGCATTTTGAGGTTCATTATTCATAAAAATGCAATCTTGATGAATCCTTTTGGCCCATACATGAGTTAGAGTTACTCTTATGGTTCTTTTTGAGTTTTGAGACCCATTAAGTCATAAAGAATGTAAAGTTGCCAACTTTACGTGTTAAGAGGCCATTTAGAATCAGACCTGAGAGTTTCGCTTAGTGGTTTAATCGATTAAGTGCTTAATGAAAGGGGTTGGTTGTCTGTGGAGTACGATGGGCGTACCCAGCTCGTATGTTGCGCGTACTGGCCCGGAGGGAGTATGCTGGGCGTAAGTCTAAGTACGCCGGGCATACTCAACAGTTTGACTTTTGTTGACTTTTGTGTTTTGGGCCATATTTTGACTTTTAGGGTTTGAGCCTTGTTATGCCAATAGTCTTTTGACCTTTGAGCTATTTTTTGACATTCGACCTTCTTGGATTGGGCCAATAATGGGCTGTGGGTGCCATTTAGGTTTTTGGGCTATATTCGGCTTTTGGAGCTTTTGGGTTGGGCTTTGGTTATTGGGCCAAGTGAGGAAAGGGTAAAATTGTCTTTTAACCTGGGAATTGGACAATTGAATGAGATTCATAGCTTTGGTTTATGGCCCGACTTATTAATTGGGCTTTATTTGATTAGTTAGCGCAGGGATTTTTCCGGATCGACAGTCCGAGCTTTTATTGGAGATATTCGGCAGCTTGAGGTGAGTTTCCTCACTGTGCTTGGTGGGTTGAAGGAACCAATGTCGACCCATGATTTATTATGATTAAGATGCTAGTTGTTTATGTAACTCTTGCATGTATGTTATGTGATAGGTATACCGGACGCGGTCCGATGCCAGGACGAGCCTGATGAGTATATTGTAGGTTATTTATCTTAGTGATTCTTGCATGTGTTTTATGTGACTGTATGTATACCAGGCGGGGGTCGATGCCAGGCGGGGCCTGATGAATGTGATGAGGCGGGACCCATCTCATACTATTGACAGATCTGTTCCGAGTGGGGCTCGATGTCGGGTGGGGCCTGATGGTTGTTGGGCATGGCCTATTGTATGTTTGATATGTATGGTATGAGGTATTTTTTGAGGAACTCACTAAGCTTTGTGCTTACGGTTTTTAGTTTTTGTTTCAGGTACTTCCGGATCGAAGGGGAAGAGCTCGAGATGACCGCAT